ACTTATAAACCATGTCTGTCTGTGCGCCCAGCACTAGGGAGGCTAAGGCAGGAGGATTGCTGAGTTCAAGGCCAGCCTGGGCTACATAGTAAGTCCAAGGCCAGCTACATAGTGAGAGTCTATCTCAGAACAAAAAACAAAACCAGAAAATCTGGGGGTTGTGTTCAGAAAGCCATTCTGTTGCAATGTAAGAAAAAGGCCAACTTTAAGATACATGAGATTTACACAATCCCCTTCTAAAAGTTAAAAAAAAAAAATACACACACACACACACACACACACACACACATACACATATAATATACTGCACCTGCCTGTCAAACTAAAGGCCCTGGGTTGTTTTCCAGCACGGAAAAAAAAAAAAAGACCCCAAAGAGCAGTTTTCCCAACAAATTCTAGGGCGTGCTGTGCCATACTCTAAAACTCAGCAACACAATAACCCATTTGTTTCATTAAGAAAAACGAAGAACTTCATTTTTCTAGAAAGAAATATTTCTGCTATTCTTTTATGTGTCATTCTTTGCCTCTGGGTCTGAAATCTTGAAGGAGTCCCAGCAGCATTCACATCCACGGCCCGCTCCCTACCTGCGCCTGTGCTTTCTGATTTATCTCTCCGTGTCGGGGGAACCCAAAGGCTTTCAAAAATATCTGCTTTGGCAAAAATCGAGTCAGTCAGGAGGGGTGAGAAATGAAGAACAGGATGTGGGAGGGAGGAAAATCGTGGCTTAATAAATTTTACCTTCTAAATCACCGAAATTCCAGAGTACCAAGGATGGTTATATCGTGGCTAATGTTCAAAAAGTGGCCAATGTCAAACAGTTCTCATGAATTATAATCACGAGGGGTTATTCAAAGTTCAGCACAAATATCTACTTGCCATGTTTAATTTATGGGGTCAACGGAAGGTAAAAGCCATACAGTTTAAATTTTTGTAAGCTTTTGGTAGAAATTAAAAGTTATAGACTCAAACCACCTCCGTAATTGTCTCATTACTGAACACTGGCCCACAACAAATTACTTGCACTAATTTAGGATTCTTAAATTCACAATTATTTTCTTCTGAAGCAATAAACACTCGCTCTTAAACAATGTGTATGAGCAATAAATTAATTAATGTTTAATACTTACTAAACTGCTGTCTAAGCTCTAAAGTGAGAACACTCTCAGGCAGCTTCGTCTTCGAGACACAGGTGTTTTTGGAAGCTGGGAATCAGGAAGATGTGCTATCATAAATGACCACAGGGACGCCCGGTAACAAAACACACAGGAAAATGCCGCTCACCCAGAAACAAGGCAGCGTCACAGCTGGAGGTCAAATTCTAAGTGCAGTTCTGGAACTGTGGCCTTCTGACTTAACTTCGCGTGCCTCAGGTTCCCCACTTGTGACGTGAAGATAGCTGTGTGCAGTACAGACACCCGGTGAGAAACGCTGCAGAAACTGACAACGGAATCCGTGGGATCCATTCTCTGGCCCAGAGCAGTGACAGTGGAGCTACAACAGTTACGCTCTTACACGCAGGGTCTCACTGTGTAGCCCAGGCTGCCTCAAAGTCAGTGACCCTCCTGCCTCAGCCTCCCTAGTGCTGGGACGACAGGTGAGCGCCCCCACTTCAGTTAATCCCATCGCTTTCCCCGAGACACTCAAAGGTGCAGTGAGACCAGCAAGCTGCCCAGTACAGCACCCTGCAGGCAGGGCTTTAACAAGCCCCTAACAACTGTGCACAGCTGAGACCCATCGGTACTTCTGCCCCTATTCGAATCAGAGCCAACAAAAGCTACTATCGCCGGACCCTGCAGCCTAAGGAAAAGCTTAAGACCGGAATATATATTTACTCTCTTAACTGTTGATCTGTCGTTTTCCTTTGCCCCAATCTAATCTAAGATGCCTGTGAGTGTTCCCACCTGGGCTATGTGACTGACTTCTAGAACTCTGCAGCAGGCGGGCTCCTGCACTTCAGGCAGCGCATCGAGCTGTGTCCTTTGCTCAGCTACAGGACGCCCTCAACCCTCGCACCCCAGGCGGCCGCGCCCTCATTCTCGGGCTGGTTCTAGGTCGTTCATCTGCTCACTCGCTTTTTCCTGAAGTTCAGCTCAATTTAAACAGAAAGTGAGCTCGTGGCCAGTAATCCACCGTCGCGTGGTTCGCACGTGACTCTACAATCACACTCACACACCTCTCCGAGAAGGCATCGCTGTGTCCATTCTGCTGGTCTAACAGGACACTCGGGCGCCACGGCAGGGGGTGGGGTCAGAAAAGTGTGTGCTTTCTAGACTGGACGACGGTGACACCACTCACGTTTCCTTACGCACAGACCCACTCAGTGCTCAACACGGCTCCGCCCACTTACCCTCCAGCAGGGCTGCAGGGCCCCAGCCCCTCCAGAAGCTGCTGTCCTCTGAGGCGGCCTTCAGGGAGAGGAGCGGCTAACCCACGCCAACCCCACCTAACAATGCTCCTCCCTGCGGGCAAGCGGCCCCCACAGTGGTGCCCACTCACAGCCGCTAAGCCAGCGGGGCAGGGACCTGCACCCCAATAAAGCCCTCCAGGGAGCACGGAGCACAGTAAGAGCCAGGAACGCGCCCGCAGCTGCTGCCAAACCCGACTGGCCCTGCAAGAAACATTCCTGAACCTTGGGATTTATTACCTAATTACAGTAAGGAACGGCAAGGCCAGTTAATTAACTTGCCCCAAACCAAACCTGAAGCTGTTTCCCTGTCACCTACGTGTCACAGCGGAGACCAGCCTCATCGCATGCTGCTGACAAACTGCGCTGAGAGAGAATCCACCCATCCAGGAGAGAGGGCACAGAGACCTGACCCGCAAATGGTCAGCTCCCGATGGCTGCTGCTCCCCTCAGCTGCAGATGTGAATCAGCTGAGCCTGATGTGGATCAACTGCACTGCGGGAATCACTTCCATCAGCTCACCAAGAAGCACAAAGGGGAAAACAATCGAAGCCAGGTGTGGTGGAGCACGCCTGTAATCCCAGCACTTGGGAGGCTGAAGCAGGAGGATCGCTGTGAGTTCAAGGCTACACAGTGAGTTCCAGGTCAGTCTCAACTACATGGTGAGACCCCATCTCAAAACCCCACCCCCCAAAAAAAGAGAGGGAAAGACAAGCATTTTTTGTGGCAAAATTATTTTATGTAATTTCTGCAGAAATCAGTGTGCTATTGAATGTGAGGAAGATGAGAAAAAGAACACCCCAGAGTTTAAAAAGTAAGAGTTCCACACATATCGGAATGAGTAAAGAAAAGGCGCCCTCTCAGAACCATCTACAGTGCACGTACAGGCGAGGTGCGTAGGTCAGAGAGGCAGAGAGATTTCCTGTAAGGAAGGCTTGAGCTCTTAGAGAATATCAGGTTCTTCTTTCCAACCTTTACTGAGTTCTCAAACTCTGAAGTACTTCTCTGCTATAACATATAAAACTGCGGATAATGTCACACAAGACGCTCAGAGCGAACTCTGGATTCTAGGTACCTCCTGCATAGGAAAGCAAATACAGAGCCCGGTGTGTGGCACACTACCATCCCAGCACTTGGGGGGCTGAGGCAGGAGGGCTGTGAGTTCAAGACAAACTGAGATTCCAAACAGAATTCAAGGCCAAGGCCAGCTTGGACTACATAGCAACAGTGTATCTCAAAAAGCTTAAAAAAAAAAAAATGTATATATATATATATATACACACACACACACACACACATATATATTCCAATGATAATGGAAAAGTAGGTGAATATCTGAGACCACATCTGAAAGGTGTTCTTAAGTTAACTCTCAAGTATTAAAAAAGTTAACAAACTCTATTATAGAGGTTCACTTAATTCCAGCTAATTTTGACTCTGGATAGCTAAACTTCATGCCATCATTCTGCAAATATTTATTGGTTACTCTATGCCAGGTGATAAGGCTAAAATAAGGGAGGAAAAAAGAAATATCTCTGCCATTTCCTTCATGCACCTCCATATTCACCACTACACACACTTCTGGAATCCTACAGTACTGATATTTCTTGATAAAATTTTCCCCCAAATCCTTGTTTGGAATCAACAACTCGTAATTCAGTAATATTCCAAAGAGAAGTTATGATAAAAGAGAGAGCTATTTGGCCCAGAAACATGTCAGTGAAAATGAAACAGGTATCATTTATTTTAGTAAATTTTAAATATAAATTTCAGTGTTCTTACATAATGCTCAGTGTTTTTTAACTCTGTTCCTGATTGCCTTATCATATTTTTAAAAATGGATGCTCATGTCACTTGGCATTTTATGTGCTTTGATAAAGTACATTTTGCTTTATTAAACCAGTGTGTTTAAGCAGCACTAAATTATTGAAATATGCATCTTAAAAAGGAGAGAATTTCTTGCCCAGTTTTATTGTCCCAAAGCATCAGCGGTCGGAAAGGCCGACAGTGACTGGTAAACTGAGGCAGCGCACAGCTGTCCTGCTGCAACCCCGCAGGGCCCAGTGCACCAGGGACTTCGCCCCAGTTACAACCCAGCAGCTGAGGGCACAGGCCCACGCCTTCTGTGCTCACGCAAACACGACCTCACCGAGAGCCTTTCCGCCCACCTAGACTCAGAGATTACCAGGTGAGCGAGCCATGGAACCTGTGAGCAAGCGCAGGGGAAAGTGAGGCCAGCGGGGTGCTGCTGTGCGCAGGTGTCTCGGGGGAGCTGAGCACGCCCCAAAGCCGGCGACGGCTCAGGCCTCACGGACCAGACCAGCTGCACGGAGCCAACCTCAGGGAAGCTGCGGCTCCCACTCCGAGACCTCATCACGCCCCGGCCTCCGGAACCCAGCAGAGCGCTTCCCGTGTGGTGCAGTTCTTGGGTCTCGCAGCACCACGTCACCAGGGCAACTAACTTTAAAGGAAACCACAGCAGAGGCGCAGCTCCACTCGTCAGTGGGCGCCTTGACTGCCTCCTCACACAACTTTGATATAAACCACTCACCCCGAACAGAGCACAAGCAAGCAAACAGAAAACCCTCTCTGTACCTGGTAATCCAGAACGCTGAATCCCAAGCCTTTATCTTTCACCAGCTCAACGATCTTGACCTCTGGGGACCAGAAGGCCAGTTCTCCATCATCCTCCTCCTCAGCGCTGGCGGTGACATCTGGGTCCACCTGAAACCCCAAGGATAAACGCTCCAACACCATCCTCTCTGCGCTAAAGCGCGAACAGATGAGGCGCCTCGCGGGGTCTTCAAACTGGGGAGTCCTCTCCAGCATGCACCATTTTTCGTTATGACACCGATGAAAGCACCATGCACTGGGCCATAAACAGTCAGGGCAAGATCCTTATAAAAATCCAAGCATTCAAAAATGCTAATTGTTCACACGGGCTTTTTAAAAATACAAAGTACACGTTTCATTAAAACTAGCTGGGCGTGGTGAGGTACACCTGTAATCCCAGCACTTGGGAGGCTGAGGCAGAAGGATCACTGTGAGTTTAAGACCAGCCTTGGCTACACAGTGAATTCCAGGTCAGTCTCAACTACATAGTGAGACCCTGTCTCAAAACAAACAAAACAAAAAAAGTATTAACACTGACCTCTTATACTTCAATGAATTCTCTCATCCCATTAGAAGCACACAAGGAAAAATATGCAATTTAAGTAAAAATAAAAACATACAAAGTAGAAGTGTGTAAGGTATTTCAAAAGCAATACTCGGACTCAAAACTGCAACGACAGAAAGGACACAACATACAGATAGGCAGAAGAGGACACAGAGAAACCGTTTCTCCAGGCTCCAAGGAGTTTCCAAAAAGCTTTACTGGAAAAATAAGGGGAAAAAGTTCCAATTCCTCAGGCAATGTGCAATTCCAAAAATGGATAAATGTCACTGAGTTGAATTAACAAGGATGGGGCTCTGGAGGGGATAGGTCCGCCCAGCTGCCCAGCACGCAGGCCCTGGCCTCTCTCCCGACTTCGAGCTCCGAGATCCCAGCTCCTCGGGCGGGCACCACAGAAGTCCAGGCCACGGTCCAGGGCCATGGGGCCAGGGCCACGGGACAACAGCCGCCCCACACCCTCCCGTGTTCACACTGTTCTCAGCATGGTACTTCGTCTGATGGATGATCACCACATGCTCTGACCTACACGAGGCTCAAGAATGATTGTTTCTCCTCTCTCCCTTAGCCACTGACCAGCCGGCTCCGGCATGTGGTCCACCGCAGAACTGGCCTCCTTTCCTGCCTCTGCTGCCTGTTGGATGCTCCCAGAATCATTCGTTCAGGACTTTAATGAATCATCAGCTTTTTAGTGTATCTCTCTTGAAATGACAAGTTTCAAAAGCAGATTTCTTGGGCTGGGGATTTAGTTCAGTGGCATCACGCCGGCATGATCTCAGTGAAAGTCGTGGAACCATCTCCTAAAATCAGTCCTGAGAGACCTGCATGACCTTGGGGTGGGGAACCCTGCAATCTGGGAGCCTAAGGCAACAGACTGCACAGCACAGAAGCCTGACAAAGTGAGGGCTGGCCCAGATCTCGGGCTGGTGTGGGCGGACCCAGCCGCCACGAATTGAATCTAAACGTGGGACAGGTTTCTTGGTTCTTCAGTTATGGACCTGAAACCAGTGGGACTGTTCTAGATCGATAACTTCGGCATTTCAGCCAGATGTGAGAAAGAGATGCACCGAAACAGAAAACGATCTTCCAATAAAGGGAAAGTTCCGAAGACCGATGCCGCAGGGCCGTGCTCTCCTGCGCGTAACACCCTCGCTGATCAGTGGACCAGGACTGGCTGAGCCGCCTAGTCCTCCAGAGCTTGAGAACCTAAGGCTCTCTCAGGATAAGTAAGAGAGAAGCCCAGGGAAGAGAGCTGGGGCTTTGAGAAACCTCATGTAATTATAAAAACTCAAGTTTACAGAAACGTCAAGGCCTTCCGCAGGCATGTAAGACATTCTGCTCCAACATGAAAAGCGCACTGGCAGAATCAGCTCTGCATAACTCTCCTCTGCAGATGGACAGAAAGCAATTGGCCAGCGGGCAGCAAGGCTGGTGGAGGGCACAGTTTACACAGTGTCCGCTCCCTCGGGGGGCAGGACGGCTGGGAGGCAGGGCCAGCGAGCGGGGTGAGGGGCAACCTACACACCCACAGCCCTGAGAAGGCGCTTCTCAGCTGTGGGGAGTCCGACACGTTTCATCTTAGAAAGGACAGCAGGCGTCACGAGAGCTTAGCACATGGGAGCCCTCCTTGGAATTTTAGTTTAATAAAGGTAAGTGTTAAGAGAAATTGTAGATCAATAATCAAAAATTTACTAAGTTCCTCTTACATGCCAGCACAGAAAAAAAAAAAACACCCTGAGACACAAAATCATTTTAAGAGATGACCTCTGCCCCAAGGAGCTGCAAGTTTTCTTGGAAAAACAAGGCTGCTGCACACTACTGGATCCGGGAATTGGCCCGGGGAGCCTGAGGAATCAGAAAACTAAGCTGGGCACGGCGCGGCCCCGTGGCCGAGGTCCCTAAGTGGCACAGGAGCAGCAAGCACGGCCGCTGCCCACAGATTCACAACTGCAGGTGGCAGTGGCGGGTTGGGGTCCACAGAAGCGGAAGCCACGCCGGCATCCAAGGGCGGCACAAAGACGTCTAACCCTTTCCTAGTCCCAGGGCTTGCAGCAAAGACTCCGAGGGCAGGGGCAGAGGCCGCACGTCCGGCCATGCAGAGGCTTCCTGGCACCGATGCAGGAGGGCAAGAGCATCAGCCTCCGCGCCCACTGACACCTTAGCTGCACCATGGCGAGCGGCACTGAACTAGGGACCAGAAGCAGAGTCCAGGCAACTCCTTAAACAAGGTCTCCGCGATCAAAGCAGGCAGCATTTCAAGGAAAAGAGCTGCAGGGCGCTTACGCACTTGCCTGAGGCTGAGGAGGAAGAGCGGCCAGGGCAGGCGCCCTTCCCTGCGTCTCCACCCTCTTGGAGTCCCTGCCGCCTGCCACGCCCCCCACCTCTCCATACCTGCGCTCCGGGAACGGAGGTGTCCACTGAGACCTCGTCATCAAACAGGCGCCGACAGCACACCAGGGTGAACGGGGGCGGCGCCTCCTTCAGGAAGGAGACCGCCTCCCGCCGGGACTTCCCGAAGAGCTGCACGCCGTTCACCTGGGGAGACAGGGGTCGGCACTGAGACCCCGCACAGGAAGACCCACGCGTGCCTGCTCCACAGGGAAGGCAGGATGCGCTCGGACTCTCCTGGCGACGCGGGCCTGAGTGTCATCACTCTGCTGCAGTACTTACTGAAATGTTCCAAATCCTCAAAATGGATCACAACTGAGGCTAAACCTTCACTGAATTTGGGTGCAGAAAGTGCAGATTGTGTGGAGAGCACAGCAAGGACTGCGTGAGCTCCCTAGTGCCTCACAGCTCTGTGGATTCTCCGCGCCTACCAATCACTGCAGAAAAGCATTGAATGCCGTGTCCAGCCGGGAATTCTGCTGTGGAGTCAGCATGGCACTCGAGGCTGTAAATGCCACGCCCCAGTGTGCAGGTGCCAGCAGCAAACCCCACTCCCAGCCCCTCGGTGTCGCACACGGATCCACCACCTAGAACGACTGCTTCCCTGGACAAAGCACACACGTGACAGGCGGCCACCCCCTCCCGTGAGCTGTGCTGATTTGGCCAACGTGTGTCCATCCCCGAGTTACCTCACACCGATGTCCACCTTTCTGAAACAACTCCTTAGTAATGATTCATCTTTTTCACCAGAGATCAGCCACACGTCCTACTACTCTGGGCGCAGCTCTGTGGCAGGGATGGACAGAGGCCCCGCCTTTGCTAAGTCCTCATAGCCGTGACTTCGGCTCCCGGATCTGGCCCCGGACACAGGTCCTCAGAAGCTGACCCGTCTGCCACTCCTGCTCCGGGACCAACTCACAGGATGCAGCAACAGACCCCAGAGGCTTCCAGCTGGTGCCATGCCCAGGGGCCCAGAGCCCCGCTGAGGCCTGGGATTGCCCACACTTGCTCTGCTCCCCGCCCTCGCTCCCGCAGCAGCAGCCAGGGAGCGAGCCACGTGGCACTCAGCCTTGTACTCAGAGTACACGGTGCTCACCATTTACACACCCGCCACCAAGAGCCACAGTGAACCACGCTGGCTCCGCTCACGCCCCACACCTCCCAGGCAGACCTCATCGAAACAGCGAAGAGCTATGGCCGCAGGTCTGCAGTTCTTGGGTCAAAGGCGCCTGTGCCCTGCCACTCGGGGGAGGAAGACAGGGTCGCAGCTCTGCAGAGAAAGTGCCGCTCACCTGGCAAAGCTCAGAGCACCAAGCTCAATAAGCACACGAGACTGCTGCTCCCTTCCTCTCCTACGAGAAGCCTGACTTCCCACAGAACAAAACGATAAATGTTTGAGAAGGCAGAATTGTCTGACTTGACTTAAAGACGACATAATATGGATGTGTTTAAAACTTTCACCTTAAAAAATAAAAATTTAAAAAATTAAAATTTCACCTTAGCTCACTAACACACAGGCTGCTGATCAAAAATACAGTGTGTATTAAATAAAAAACAGTACAGTAAAAGGCACATTGCCATTAATCCTCAACCCCCCCCCATCATCCCTGACAGTGACTCAGCCCCTTCCGGAGAATCTCTATGAGGTGTAATCAGAAATACGGTGAATGCCGCTGCAGTGCCAGCCAATGGGAAGGCAGCTGAAACGAACAGGGTGCTGTCACCCTATTTACCAGACCTGCCACTGTGAGCCCTCTGGCTCTTCCCCAAAGTCAGGATGACCACGAAAGGCAAGCGTTTCGAATCAATTCAAGACATCAAGGCAGCCGGGACAGAGCAACTGAAGGGTTGTATGTGTTTGGAAAAACAATGACGAGGCAGTTTGGAAACATGGGCTCGGGTCCCTGGTCACCCGATAAGCTGGAGCGTTTCCGACCCAAGCGGCCAATGCTTCATTAGCACCAGTGACACCGTAACAGAGTGGACACCTTAAAAATGTCCTGCCTGGCCTCTTTCTCCGTGAATCTCACCTCAAGAAGCTCATCTTCCGGCTGCAGGAGGTTCAGGGTGTCCACGGGGCCCCCGGGAGCGATTGAAGAGATGTAGTGGTGCCCGTCGAAAGAGTCCACTTCCATGCCCAGCCTCAGCGTGTGGATCGGCAGGAGCTGCAGCAACACACAGAGCAATGGCACCAACGCGACAAGGACTCGCTCACCTGCTCAGCCTCCCGCGGGCGTCAGTCTGGTGGCAAAATCCACCTCTTGAATCTGGCCACCAAAACCCCAGAAGACCACGGTGGGGCAGGAGCCTCAGGTGAAGTGATAAAGCCGCTGGCCTTCCAATTCTCCTTCCTCTGTCCCTCACGGATGCCCAGGGTGTGGGCAGAGAGCCGTTCGAAGTCCTGCCTTCCATTCTAAGCCCCACAGCCACACTTCCAGAGTGCCTGGCGTGTGCACTGCGCCCCCTTTCCTGCGGGGCTGCCCACCCCAGAACACCCTATGCAGCCCACTACCCAGAGCATTTCCTCCGCACCCAGCGCCAAAACGATGTCGCTGCCAGGAGTGAACTCCTGAGCCTCTGTCCGGGGTTCCAGGCAACACCGAGACTCACAGCGTCCTGTGTTCAGAGCCCATCTCTCCAGCCTCACCCTGCACTGCCCCATTTGAGCGCTGAGTCTGCACCTCCTCCTGTGGGCCCTGCACCTGGGCTCCCCGGATGCGATCTGAGTGAATTAATCTGCGGAAGCTGTCACTTTCCACGCAGCCACTCCCGACTTGCAGGTGTAATCACTTTCTGCTCCAGAATCGACCCTGACGGGTTGTAGGCGCTATGCGTCCTCAGAGGTGAGCCAAGGCCTAGGAAGTGCGGCCAGCCTCCAAGCAGAGCTGAGGTCTGTGCTGCACTCAGCTGCGTTGCCCACAAGAGCCAGGGCCCCCCTCAAAGCCCGACCCTCAGAGACGAAGCCAGTGGCGCCTGGCGGCCATGGAGACCCCAGCACAGTGGGCTGCTAGCCGCTGCTTCAATCTCCTACGCCGAAGCCCCTCTGGGCACGAGCACCAGGCCACTCAGACTCCACCTGGCGTGGAGAAAGCCTAACAGGCGGCCCTCGCTGTGCCCGCTGACCCCGAACCATCGCCTCCCCTCAGTCACCGGCTCCGAATCCCAGAATCCTACAGCTCTTGCTTCAGACACCACCAAGCTCATTTCCGGCCAGAGACAGAGACTCAGACAAACTCAGAGTGGCAAGGAGTCCAGATGACGGGGCTGAGGCGGGAGGGCTCCTCACGCCGAACTGTCTGCACACGACGCACTCCTTCAGCCACCGAGTCAGTTGGGACCTCGGCCGTCTGTGGCAGAAGGTGTCCCAGCAGCCCAGCAGAAGGTTAAGAGCCTTCCTCCTGCTCTTCCTTGGCTGAGGTCCTCATTTCCCAGTACTAGGCCGTGGTGTCCAGACAGAAGATGCCCACACCCTCTCCCGGGAGACCCGGGGGGCCACAGCGCTCCGCATGAGTCCGCCCACTGCCTCGGCCGGCTGCCTTCCTCCCTCGGTTTGAGAGGTCAGGAGCACCTGTGCTCCAGGCAGCTGCCGCTGTCCCTGGGAGGACATCGGGACCGGGGCTCTTGGGTGGGTCCCCCTCTAACACCCCTCTCGTGCCCTTCTAAGGCAGCCAGTGCCAGTCCCTGGGGTGAGGCTCCCACGGCCCATGTGTACCCCAACTCCTCTTCCACCCCGAAAACCTGCCGCACCCCAGGAAACACCCGTGTTGACATTCTGGGAACTTGGGGCCACAGCACTACCCTAGTTTCTTCAGCAGGAATTTAGGGCATGTTCGTAACAACTATGAAAAGCCGATAAATCTTTCAACAGTGCTTACCTTCGAGTACTTCTGCAGCTCAGCGTCATCTGCAATCTGAGGGTCCAGAGTAGCAACCTAAACACACGAGGAGATGTGCACGTCTGTGAAAGGACCAACCCCACTTCTCCCTAGATTTCCTGAAAAGCAGGCCGGGATGTAACTCAGTGGCACCGTGCCTACCTTGCAAGCAGCACAAGATCCTGGGCTCAATCCCCAGTACCAGAAAAAAAACCAAAACCAAACAAAACAAAAACTGCAAAAGCTATGTTCTGATAACTCCACTGAAAATCTCTTCCAACAGTTCTGAAATCTGCGAATACAGCCCCTAATGCAAAAGCTCTGAGTATGTTAGGCTTTTTGTTGTTCTCTACATCAATTATTTCCCTGAGTTAGCCAAAGCAGTATTTGTAGCATCTGGGATTGGTTTCAGAGCCTCAAGGATACCAAAACGCAGCACATTCAAGTCCCTTCTTCCATAGAAAGGGGCCAAATATGCACAAATCTGTGGGCAGCCGCCCATGTGCTTAAAAGCCACTCCCCAAGCACCTCACGTGCGGGAAATGCCACACAGGCAGGCACTGAGCAGTGAGGAAAGCTGCGTGTATGCAGTCGGGACCAAGTCTCTTTAATATCTTAAATCTGTGTGGGTTGGATCAGAGCATGTGTGAACCCGAAAATACAGAACCAGCAGACACAGCGGGTGAGTACGTTCAGAAATCGCCAATCCCAGCCACATGTGGGTGGCCATACCTGTACTCCCGACTCGGGAGGCTGAGGCAGGAGGGTCGTGAGTTTGAGGCCAGCCTGGGCTACAGGCTGTTTCAAACAACAACTGCAAAATCCCTAAAAGCTATTGCAACCCTCCATTGTTTCGGATCCATAAACGTTTTACTCTGGACAATAGCAAGAGCGTGGCTGATTTTACTCTCAAACTCAAGCCTTAAAATGTGCAAGGTCAGGAAACTTTGGTGAGTTGGAAACTGGAGCCTCTGACTCCCCAGCGAGCTCAGCCTCCCCAGGGAGTGGCTGGCCGGGCCCCAAAGGAAGACCGGGTTCCCAAGGAAAGAACCAGAGCTTCCTGGCCTGGCCTGGCACTTTGGTGCTGCGCCCCCTGCTGGACAGAGCAAGGCACCCCAGAAAAGCAGCGCGTCAGTAAACGGTGCTGGCCACAGCCGGGAGCAGCACGGACTGCCAGCAAGGAGGCCTGGCAGAGAGCGAGGAAGAACCAGCAGAAGACGCGTCCATACTGCCACCCGCTCACAACTCCCTCAGCTTTCAACGACAGAGCTGTCACTTTCAAGCTTCAGACCCTTCTCCCCTGCTATGACCTCACCACATGATGAATAAAACCCGTCAAGACAGTTACGTGCAGGACAAAACTTCAGCAAAGAGCCCAGTGGTGAATGACATTGCCTTGATAACCAAAACCACTAAGTGTAATCCCAGCACTCAGGAGGCTGAGGCAGGAGGCTCACTGTGACTCGGAGGCCACCCTAGACTATGCAGTGAGTTCAAGGCCAGCCTGAGCTACATAGTGAGACCCTGTTTCAGAAAACAAAACAAAACAAGACAAACCGCCACGGGTAGCAGCTCAGCCATTTGCTAGGTGCCCTACGGTGGGTTCCTGAACTATGAGGCTGAGTGGCCGCGGTGGCGTGCTGGGACAGAATGGGCAAAAACAGAGCAGGCCCCATGCAGGCTCCTCTTACGGTGACGCTGAAAGGCTAGTCTCGCGGCTGGGTGTTCAGACCCAAGAGGAAAGGAATCTCCTGCCCGCCCGCCCGCACATGAGAGCAGGACGGCTGGCTGGAGCAACCTGGCGACACTGGGGAGCCGGGGAACATGGCCTGGCGGTCTCAGGGCACACGCCTAAGTGATCCCCTCCCGGTGGCTCAGTGACGGCCGAAGGGAGTCTGACGGGCTGCGGTGCCGTAAACCCACGCCTCGGCTACGTGACTTCCGGGTGCCCAGACATGCTTGATGATCACTCTTCTTCTCATAAAACCGTGGGGTTCTTTGGGAAGCACAGCACTAATGTCCACAGCGTGTTCGGTGTACAGTAAAACAAACAGGTCATAAAAGGGGTCATAAAAACGCCTGCGATCTTATAAATCGAGAGGTGGAGCCTCTCCCTGGCATTTTTCTGCCCACGGCTGATGACAACAGTTTCAGCACGGCTGGGGTCTGCTAACTGCACTGAGGCGCGTCACTCTCCCGACTTGGGTGTTTAGAAAAGTCAATCATCGCTCCACCAGGGGAGACCGGCAGATTGGCTCTGCGCGGGCTCCAGTTTGGGAGGCCACACTTCATCGGGAGGCCTGCACTTACCATGACTTCAAAGTCAGGGCCCAGCAGGCTCTCCCATCTGGACTTCAGCTCGTTTTCTGCAGAGTCCAGGGCTTGTTCTGGACGTAAAAAAAGAACATTGAAGCCGGCGATGGTGGTGCACGCCTGTCATCCCAGCACTTGGGAGGCTGAGGCAGGAGGATCGCTGTGAGTTCAAGGCCAGCCTGGGCTCCACAGTGAGTTCAAGGCCAGCCTGAGCTACACAGCGGGACCCTGTGTCAACAAAACAACATAAACGAATACTGAAGCTAGGAGAAGCCACGCACCTCCCCACACTCCTCAGTAAGAGCACAGTTCTGAGTTGAGGGGCACAGACAGACAGCGGATGGCAGGCGCACAGGTGAAGAAAATCGGAGCGGCGACTCACAGGGCCACGCGGACAGAGACTGGTGGCTGGGATGGTGGTGAGGTGGCTTTCGTTGTGAAGGGAAGGGGAGTGAGTTGGACCTATCCGCGACTCCTCTTACACACATGCCTGGCCTCGCTCTGCGGGCACAGGACTTGCTCTAGCACTGATCTCCGTGGAGCTGGACCCTGTCCCTGCCTCTGGGAAGGATGCATCAGGGTGGCTTTGCAACCCTGGGCCTGGGGCCCGCAAGGCCAGGCACAGTGGGCGGGGAGCACAAGGTCCCGGGTTCCCCTCGGAGCTGCAAGAGCCCCATGTCGGGAGCTCCAGCTCTGGCGTGGTCTCCTTGATGTGATGTCGCGTGACACAAAGGCAAGGGCACCAAGCTGGGCTCGGAGCATCACCAGGCCGGCTGACCCCAGTGGTGCCACTACTGTAGGGCCACTGCAGGGGCCGCTGTGTCCCCGTGAAGAGCAGGGAGAGAGCAGCTTCCACTTCCCTCCAGCTAAGCTGAGTGTCACGGGTCCGAGCACCCATGCAACCCACACCGAGTCCAGGCCACACAGGGAGCCGGAGACAGCGAGGCTGGGACGCTGAGGTCCACAGGCAAACCTCAGGGCCACAGGACCCCGGAGATCAGGGGACCAACACGTGCGACCACAGGAGGCCAACAGCTGGGAGCTGTTCAAAGGGAACTCCGGGACTGCCTGGGCCTGCGCCTCACAGAGCTCCGGCTCCAACGTCAGCCACTTGTCTTCAGGCAGCGGCCTCTCATCTGGGAACAGAGCTGAGCCGAAGCTGTGGCGGCTACAAGGGGAAGCCGGCGCCTCGCATCCTCCTACCGCTGCTCCCAGCGCAAGGCCCCAGGGGGAGCGGCACGGAGGATGCTGCTGCTCTCAGGCCACATGGCCAGCCGCACCAAGGTCAGGCTGCCGCCAGGGCTCCGGAGACACACACAGATCAAGGCTCTGAGCCTGCTTCTGACGTCAGTGCATGGTCTTCACCTGAAGCCCCACAGAAACCAACCTGAGCTCGGCTGCGTTCAAACAAGCTCCCTTGGGTCCGTCAGGTTCCTGAACCCCAGGCCCTGCCCAGTGCCCGGCCCCCTGCAGAAGCCAATGACAACAAGCATCAGAGGACAGGGCCACAGAGCAGCTCCAAAGAAAAGTATGCGCCAGCCCGGGGCTCCCATGCAACCCAGAAATACGTGCGTCATTAACTTTAACCATGAAAAGGAGACACTGTCGAATGTATCCAGACAGCTGTGACCTAGGCTAGAGAGACACCGACAGCAATGCCCGAGCTAAGGCACGGAGCAATTAAAAATGCCAGGAACAGGACGAAAAGAGCCATCACCTACTAATAAATGTGTGTGCTCAAAACCAGCACAATTAAACAAACATTCAGCAAGGATGTGCTTGGTCCCTGACTGCCAAGAGTTAAGATTTTTATCCCCTTTTAATCCACACGTAGTCCCACCCGGTACTCAGGAGGCCGAGGACGGAGGATCACAAGTTCAAGGCCAGCCTGGACAGGGCAGCAAGGCCCTGTTCTGGAACACACAGGCCGAAGCGAGTGAACTCCCACTCTGGGCCTGTCACTCACACTGTATTCGCGACAGAGGAGACCAGCAGGCGAGCAAGTCTGAGTGCCGCCTGGCGTGGACCTACCCGGCCTCCCTGGGGCTCCCGTCCTGGCCGGCTGGCAGTCGGCCACCATGTCCCCAGTTTCTTCTTCTTCGCCGTCCAAGTTTGTCTCTGTCTCCACTGCTCCACTTAGGAAGAGGGCTGGCGTGTGGGGCGGCCCCGTGTCGGACCCTGAAATGAGAACGGCTGGTGAGTCCCAGAGCCGGGGACCGGGGCAGGTGGCCTGCTGCTGCCGCTGTAGGCTTGTTCAACCCGGCACGGGCCTGCCGGTGATTTCCACCCATGGCTCCTTACCCTGAAATACCATGTGGGACCATCTACAGACACTGTAACACCGATCGTGCCAGAGCAGGCCGTGAAGTTAGCCCCACCATCGGCTCATTTACAGAAGTGACTCCAAGCAACGCCTGCATGCTGAGGTCAGAGTAACTCACACCCAAATTCCGTTCCCACAGCTAAAACCTTCTCATTAGAGGACAATGTTCCAACTACAATCACATATTTTGTTTATTCTGCTCCTAATTTGAGAATGCTCTGACTTGTTCTTATGAGCCTTGCTTACATAGAAGCAAGGATACAGAAACCACATGACTGTGTATCCTCGAACACAGGACTCCTGGCACATTGCTCTTCTTTACCCCAATTGATTACTGTAAAAGTCAGCGCCTGGGAGTGGCCAGCGCCGTTGTCGGCTGCACTGGCACTGGTCGTCCTGGAGCTCGCTTTCTGTCTCTCTTAGTTCTGTCTTTAGTGTATTTTGTCCTTAGGCCTGGGTCGTACACTGGGCAGGAGACTGGAGCCTACTGGAGAGGTTTCAGGGGTCCCCAGAAATAATCAAATGACTACAAAAACAGCGCCATGGACGGTAATGAGGGAAAAGGAAGGGAATGGAAACAGAAGCAAAGTCGTCAATGACAAAACAGTGTGGGTGCTTTTCAATTAGCTCAAAAAAAAAAAAAAAAAAAAAAAAAAAAAAAACACTGGGCATGGTGGTCGCACCTGAATCCCAGCACTCGAAAGCGAGGCTGAAGCAGGAAGATCACTGGGAGTTTCCGGCCAGTTTGGGCTCCATAGTGAGTTTAAGGCCCACATGAACCACACAGCAAGACCCTTCCAAAATAAACCCTAAACAAATAAACAGACAAAAAAAGAGAGCATGGAATGCTGAAGTTTTACCACACGACACTACTGTCGTGGTGGGCAGAGAGCCCAGCAAGCAGAAAGAGCGGTGCTCTGAGGCTGTGGCAGGAAACCACCTCAAGGGCAACAAGCTCACAGGAGAGGATTCCCGGGCCATAATGCACTGTGCGGAATTACCAGCAAGTCCCTGCAGACCTCTAACCATAAGACAGGTTGAACAAGAACCACTTCCGGTTATTTCCAACCACCTACTCGGCGCTCATCAGGCTTTCTTATCAAAAGCTTAGCAAAAGCTCTAAACACGAATCTCAGAAAGACTCTAACTCTAGCTCTCAGAAAGACTCTAACTCTAGCTGGAAACTCAGAAGAAACACAGTATGCGCAGAACAAGTTAAATAATGGCTCAGGGAACAACTCCAACTCCGAACACGGCACTCTGGCAACAAGAGGCTTGGTCCTCAAGTGCCTGGGGTCCTCAGCTCAGGAGACCGGAGTCCAGGCGCGGCTTTTCCAGGACAGGGTGAGGAGGCCAGGGAAGAGAGAAAGAAACTTTGCGGCAACTGAAAAACTTAGGTGTGCAACTACTATTTTATACAGGGAATTTTGATTCATTCATTTGGTTAAATAAGAAAATATCCTGACTTTTAGACGACAGACTTTAGTCCATCTCGTGTCACGACCTCCCCTGCTCGGATGTGATGGGCTGAGGTAAACACGGCCAAATGTTAGCTACTGGATCTGAAGCGGGTCTGTGGGTATCATCGGTTTCCTTTTTTTGTTTTGTTTTACTATTTTTTAACAATTAAATAAGTTGTAACTGTATAACTGATAATGTGAACTACAAAGAAAAGGGCTAAAGGTATAGAGGAAGCGGGAAGGGTAGGGGGAAGGAAACAGGGGAAAAGAAAAAATATGAGAAAAGGAAAAAATAGAAACAAAGTTTTTATAAATGGGGAGGGGTGAAGGGAGGGCCGGGGAATGGGAAAAAATGAGAACCAAGATCCGTTATGGAAAGGTACAAGATCCCAGTGATGAGTGTAACTACCGTACAGAAATCAATTTTGACGGAGAGCAAAGCCTTCCAGTTCGGATCTTTGGAGAAGTTTCTCCAGAGGGGTGCGAAGTCAACCCGTTCGTTCCTCTCTGACAGCCGCTCAGCGAGGCCGTCCTACCCCTGCTTAACAGCCGGCCCCTCCCTCGGGCAGGCCTCACTGTCGCCGCTGCGGACACTCGCACGCGCGGGCATGCACGGATCTACTTCTCCCAACATGAAGAGCTGCTACTTCCACACCAAATGTACAACAGATGCCCTCGTCCTCGACGACACAGTCCTCTTTTACTTTCCTCCGCTAGCATTCCGAAAACGAGGCAGCAGGGCCCAGAACAAAGGGTGCCGCGGAAGGGCCGAGCGGCGCTCGTGAGGCGTGAGGCGCACCACCCGGCCGGCACTCCGCAGCACCCGCATGACATCCTGGCTGGCGAGGCCCTGGATGTCCACGCCGTCCACCTGGAGCGAGCACAGGGACAGAGGACAGAGGACAGAGCGTGAGCGGGCGACAGGATGGGAGGCGCGCGGGAGGCTCCTGGGGTCTGTGCAGGGTGCACAGCTGTCATCGCACACAGCGTGAGGCGCACCACCCGGCCGGCACTCCGCAGCACCCGCATGACATCCTGGCTGGCGAGGCCCTGGATGTCCACGCCGTCCACCTGGAGCGAGCACAGGGACAGAGGACAGAGGACAGAGCGTGAGCGGGCGACAGGATGGGAGGCGCGCGGGAGGCTCCTGGGGTCTGTGCAGGGTGCACAGCTGTCATCGCACACAGGAGCCTGCACGACAGCGGCTGAGTGGGTTCTTCACTGACTGGGAGAAGACGTCAGTGCAGAGCCACAGAGGACCAAGCAGTGAGATTCCACGGAGCAGTAAGCTCTGTGGGCTGCAAAGCAGCTCAGTGGTGTTGCCCCTGCCTGGCAAGTGCAGTTCGATCCCCGGTTCCGCAAAATAAATAAACGAAGTTTATAACCTCTCACCCCGCTGTCCTCTCGTCCCTCTGCCCCCTGAGGCCCCGGCAGGTGGAACTCACAGCCACGATCTGGTCGTCCACGCGGATCTGGCCGCTGTGCTGCGCGGCGCTGCCCGGCACGATGCTCTTCACATAGATGCCCGCGGGCCCTCCTGGGAGCAGGCGGAGAGAGCACTGTCACCGACCACCGGCGCCCGCAGGCCGGGCCTAACCGAGGGCGAGGCGCGACGCCGCCCCGCCCAGAAAAGGGGAGAAGCAGGCGCCAAACCCGCATGGGCCGCAGCATGAGCCGGACTCAGTCCTTCCACTGGACAGAAGACAGCGGCCGGACTCGGCCTCAGGTCTGAAAACATGTGCGCTGCTCTGGGAAAGCACCAGAGAGCAGACGGGAGAAAACGCACATCTGGGCGGTTTTACATTTCTTGTTAATTCAAATGAACTCAAAATACTGCACAAGGAAAACCCTCCCCACGGCTCCCCTCGCCCACATAACAATTCGCCAACCTCACAGAGGCACACCGGAGGTTCTCCAGAACCCGAACAGAAAACCTGCGCTTTCCCCACGTCCAGTGCACCTCACCCCAAGTCCTGCCACCCCCGGCTCTGACCGTCCACCGAACAAGCGGCTTCCTGACTGCACACTTTCTCTCACTGAATTCTTCCTTCCTGTCAGCCTCACCCCTTCTATCCAATTCCTTTTTCATTCTCAGCCCAAATGCCGCCTTCTTTGTTGATTCTTGTTTCCTTCGGTTAAATCAAATCTTTCATCTGCCATACCATGAAAACACATCTACACAAAACATACAGTTCAGTCATTCAGTGTTTAAGTCTGTTACACGTCTGTCTCCCTACACAGACTCTTTTCCTTTCCATTACTTTTGGGGGAATGAGGTGTCACTGTGTGCCCCAGGCTGGCCCGGATGGGCCCTGCTGATTCCCCTGCCTCAGCCACCCAAGTAGCCGAGACTACAAATCCAGACTTTTCTTACATTCATTTTTCCATAACCTCTGGAACTAAGCAAGTAGCGCTCAAAGGTCCAATAAATGGAGTAGAGCAAAAATTATCTTTAAGATTACGTATCAGAATGAGGGCAGAGCGTTCGCACATGTGCCTGAGGGCCTCAGGGTCCATCCCACCAAAGAAAAGCATGTTGGGTGTTAAATATTCTCCTTGGTGGATTTGTCTGCTCATCGCCCCAAACCACTCCAACCCCAAAGCTTCGCTTGAGGGTAAAGAAGCAAAAGCGATTGTTTTCTTTATTTAGTAACATAAACATCAAATGTTCTCAATTTTCAATTAACCATTCATTTTTATTTAGGAACTAAGCCACAAGTTTAGAAACTGAACTATAATCCTTTAACCAGACTTAACACATTGACAACTACTCAACAAGGTTTTTTGCTCTTTTGGAACTTTTTTAAATTCTGAACCTAAAAATGGTAGCACGGAGAAGAACACGAAGATCTGAAGAAAAGTATTTCATGAGGCTAACATAGCAGTGGGGGTGACAAGGCTGTCACTCGGCCCTGAATACATCAGCACGCTTCATGTCTCCACCTGCTGCATGACGGGTAACTCGGCGGAAGCCAACACGCTCACCGTGCTATGTTTGAGAAAAACGAAAACATCTCACAACCGAAGTTCCAAGTGCCTAGCAAATATTTACGAAAAGATTTCTTTTCCCTTACCCTAGTGACTCTCTTTAATAAAAAGAAACTTCTTGCTGTGGAAGGAGCTACCAGAGCTAACTTTGTGGGCGATGGCTGTGAGGTGGACGTGATTGTTCAGTTTTACTCAGAGCCATGTGCTTGTTTTCTCCCGTTACTTTACTTCCTTTACAAGAAAGGAATTTCTTCAGTGATTAAACAGGGAAATACTTTTCAGACATTCATCATGTGCAATATGCCATAATCAACTTCATAATTAAAAAATTTAAAAACATAGGTAAACTGCACTACATCGAAACAAAAAAAATCAACTCCATCACAAACAGCACCATGTGACATAGGCAGGAGTTACAATATTGAAGACGTATCAGTTTTAGAAAGGCCAGGAGGTACAATTCAAACTTTATACCCTGAATTGGACAATTAAATTCTTTGTTAATGACTTCGAGCCCTGCTACTGAACTACTGAAAGGAAAACGGGATTCTCTGAACACTGAGAAGTAGCTGGCTGCTCTTCTAAATTCACGATTTTACTGTTCACGGATTAAATTAAAATCTGCAGGTACTTAATTTTACTGTCTGGGAAACCTTGGGGTCCTTTACAGTCACTTCCAAACAGCGGACAGAATGACTCCTTTACCTGCACGAGACGTTCCGACATAACCCACGATTCTGATGCCAAGGCTCTGTCCATCTTTCTTCACAAGCTCTACGTCGTAGGCTTCAGATAAAGGACCGACCTGAAAGGCAACAGCGGGCTCTGCACACGTGGGGCTACACAGCGGTGCCCAGCCGGCATGGGAAAGCACCTGAGAGTTTTCCAAGACGCGCGAACACCAGGCCGGCCAGGGACCTCGCCCCCCGGCGACTCTCTCGTGGTGACTGCTGGTCTCAGCGCCCAAGAGAGCAGAGCGTCAGCATCTGCCCAGAGCCACGGGGAAGGGAGAAGACCGTGCAGGAGAGAGATGGGATGCTGGACAGGCAGCAGCGTCCTGAAACTGGGACAGGCCGCCGACACCCCGGGCCAGCGAGGGCCCACAGCATAGGCCAAGTCTGCGGCTGCAGGGACTTGTGGAAAGGAACAACCACACAGGAAAACCTCACTGACGTTCACACCCCAAAGAACCGTGGCACCCAGAACAGCGTAGAAGCCAAAGGCAGGCTAAGTGCCGTGAGTTCTGTAAAGACTGAGCCTACACTCGCTGTACACCGTCTTCTGAAAGCCTCTGCCCTGCGGTGCAGGCCGGTCACACAGCACTCTGCCTTGGCCAGGACAGCACCCGAGCCTGCAGAACTGCTGGGACCGCGGCCTGCACCGCATCGGGTCCCTCAAAGGGAAGGCTCCTGGCTCGGAGGGAGGGAGGGGAGCAAGGACAGCTCGGGCCACACTTCTGATGAGACAGTAATTTAGGTACTGCCGGGGTCCAATCCAGTGAGCCCTGAGCTACATCCTCAACTATTTCTATTTCTGAGACTGGGTCTTGCTAAACCCCCTGGCTGGCCTCAAACTTCCTTTGCTTGTTTGTTTCCTTTTGTTCATTTGAGACAGGGTCTCGCTATGTAGTCCGGGTGGTCTTCACACTCGCAGCGATCCTCCTGCCTCAGCCTCCAGAGTGCTGGGATTACAGGTGTGTGCCACCACTCCCAGCCCAGCTGGCCTCAATCTTTTGCTGTTCCTGCCTCAGTCTCCCAAGCAGTTAGGAGTATAGGCATGTGCCACCATCCCCAGAAAGACTTTATTTTGTACTGAGGAATGAATCTTCAGCCTTCATAGTGAGTTATATCCTGTCTTTTTCTGTTTGTTTGTTTGTTTTTGAGACAGTGCCTTGCTAAGTGGCTAAACTGCCCAGGCTGGCCGCGACCTGTGATCCTCCTGCCTCAGCCTCCCAGAGAGCTAGGATAACAGGTGCACGCCACCATATTCTTAGCCAGATCCTTTGCAAAAATAAAAAGAACTGGGGGCACAGTTCAGTGGTTCAACATGTACCTGGCACACATAAGGTCCTGGGTTCCATCTCTTGCACCATGGAAAAAAGAAAAGAAAAAAGGCAAAAAGAAAATTTCCAAATGGCAAGGGGTGAGCAAGGGAGCAGGGGAGAGGTGGGAGAACGAAGGTGCTCGGCGTATGCACTGACTCCCCACGCGACCGCAACCCCACTCCGGGGTTCCCAGGAGAGCAGGCGGCCACCCTGCGCACCACGCTCCATGTAGCCCTTCTCTCCCCTCCTCCTCAGGCCCCTTTCCTCAAAATCGCTTTACTGTGCTCTCCAGGAGAGCCCGTGAGGCAGCGGGAAGCTGAGTGCGGCCGCAGAGCTCCGAGTTCCAGTCCTGGCTTGTG